AATAAATCATGCATTTCTCCATCTTCAGTCTTATATATCCAAACCCATGCTTGTTCTATCTGATCAAAACGTGATGGATGTTGTAATTTATGAGGTGGTATAACTATATCTTCAAAAAATCCTAATGTAACTGTAACAAAAAAACGAATGTTATTAATATATAAGAAATTACATATATATTACTGTATGAAAGCGATTGATTCTTAATCAATAGATCATGAGTTCATCCTGTATTTGTCTTATTTCATCTTGTATATGTCATGATTTATAAAAAATTGATTAGATAATTGAAAATTGTAAGAAAAGTATACAATAAATTAAATCTGCCTCAAGAACAATAAACTAATAATATTTTATTCCTGTTGCTTATATATAATAATATGTACAATAAAGATTGAATTATATGATTAAATTCTGTTACCATGTACACCTTCGGGACTACAACTTCGAATCTTCCCTATTAATATTTCTTCCATCCATGGACGAAATACAATAAATCGAAATGTCACCTTCGTATGGGAAGCTCCGTCTCCTGGGAAAATATACGACTCTTCGATCTTCGTAATGTCATGCAGCGTAATACAGAGTCCTACATCCTTGTAAACCTATAATAATTTACTTTAAATCAGTTCCTGGCGGTAAATTTATTATAATTTAAAATTAATTTAAAAATAGCTTACTTTATTAGCAAGTTTTCTGTTTAATTCATCAGCAACAATATCGTTCAATTTGTACTTAAAATTACTTGGTGGTATCCTAACAGTATCCTTTAATTCCGCCAACACAAACATCTTTACCTTAACCTCACATACTGTAGGAGTAAAACTTGATACAACTTGATATCTACAGCCGGGCTAATGTATGTATGATATATGTATAATGTACATATATTATTTGCGTATGCGTATATTTCAAGAATGGAGCCTTGACGGCGACTTTTACCAATTTCCGGTTAAGTTAATCGGCCAGTTATTTTATTGGAATTAACCAATCGAAATTTGTCCACAAATTTAACAACAATTACGATTAGTCAATTCCAATGGAACAATTGTCCAATTACATGAATCGGAATTGGTGAAAGTCGCCCTAAAAGTCAGAAAATAAAATAAACGATGATAAAAAAACAAAAAAAAGTAAAGTTCCTTTATTTCACTAAACTCTTTATTCAAAAATCCTACTTGATAAATAGAATAGTATTTGATCGACTAATCAAAACCAACAAATTTTTGTTGCTATCATCCTGACTGGTCAATATATGCATATATGTGCGCATTTATCTGTAGTTTATGTCACGTGTAACGAAAGGTACGCATATACACGCTTTACAAAATCTATCTATAATATACGCTACGTGATTTATAAAAATTTTTAATATTAATAGTGAATTTTAGAACATTCCCAAATGTGTCGATTTCTTAAGCTACATTTCTTGCATCTTTTCTACATCCTTTCTGAGAAAAATTTTACTCGAAATATATGCTACACGTAACATATAGGATGCTTTTCAGCAAGCGACACAGATGACACAGAGTGCTAAGGGCCGGTCTGACCAACTATGGTTAATACTTAAGTTAAACAGCGAGTTAAATTTGAAAACTGCAAAGATAAAAACTTCGTCATTTCTAACTTAATTTCTTGTTGTAAACATTTG